CCACACTCTGGACACTCGTGAGGTTTGTCACCTGAATGTACTAACATGTGTATTATTATATTTCCACGTTCTCTAAATTTTTTGCCACACTCGGCACATTGAAAAGGTCTCTCATCCGTATGCACCATCATGTGCCTCTTCATACTTCCACGCTGACTGAATCTCTTTCCACACTCTGGACACTCGTGAGGTTTGTCACCTGAATGCACTAACATGTGAGACTTCATATAACCAAGATGATTGAATCTCTTCCCACACTCTGGACACTCGTGAGGTTTGTCACCTGAATGCACTAACATGTGAGACTTCATATGACCAAGATGACTGAATCTCTTCCTACACTCTGGACACTCGTGTGGTTTGTCACCTGAATGCACCACCATCATGTGAGTCTTCATATTTCCACGCTGACTGAATCTCTTCCCACACTCTGGACACTCCTGAGGTTTGTCACCTGAATGCACCACCATCATGTGCCTCTTCATATATCCACGCTGACGGAATCTCTTCCCACACTCTGGACACACATGAGGTTCGTCACCTGAATGTACTAACATGTGTCTTATTAGATTTCCACGTTCTCTAAATTTTTTGCCACACTCGGCACATTGAAAAGGTCTCTCATCCGTATGCACCATCATGTGATTCTTCATAGTTCCATGACGACTGAATCTCTTCCCACACTCTGGACACTCGTGAGGTTTATCTCCTGAATGTACTAACATGTGATTTACTATAATTCCACGTTCTTTAAATTTTTTGCCACACTCAGCACATTGAAAAGGTCTCTCATCCGTATGCACCATCATGTGAGTCTTGATATGTCCACGCTGACTGAATCTCTTCCCACACTCTGGACACTCGTGAGGTTTGTCTCCTGAATGCACTAACATGTGAGTCTTCACATGTGAAGGCCAGGTGAATACCTTCGGATACTGTGGACACTGGTGAGTCTTCATCTTCTTTATGACAGGTGCAGTTTGTGTGAAGGTTTTCTTCCCTGGGTGTTGGGAGAAGCGTCAAGGCTTGAGTGTTGTTTCTTAGAGTTAGACTTGATGTGAGCACTTGGCGGTCAATGGTGATGCTTCTTCTTTATGATAGGCGCAGTTTGTGTCAAGGTTTTCCCTTAATGCTCGTGCTGGACATCACTGGCTGTGGTGCTACTAAAATGGTGGCGGTTGTTTACCCTCTCATCACCTGAGCGTTCCAATGTTTTTGTCCGGTTCACCATATCATTTTTCCAACCTCTTAATTTTGTTTATATCTAGTCATTTAAAATAAACACTTGTATTTATTCTCATGTTTTTGAATCAAAGAATGTACTTGGAATTGTTTCTTTAAACATAATGCCACACGATTATACTTTTTGAAGGAAACAGCTCTCCCATAGTGAATGTGTTCTGAACCATAATGGAATCTGACCCATGTATCAATCGGGTCAACCCTTGTGTGGCGTTTCCAAAATGGTTGCCCCTGTTGGTGTAGCGAATTAATCTTTTAATCGCTCCATTATCTCATTATCTTAATAGCATAACTAATTAGCACTAATTACAGAAGCTACAATCCTTTCCCCAATTACAGGTAATACTCCTTGTTGGAGGGAGATAAGGTGTAATCACCATATATGTAAGCGATTTGATGAATATCGACCCCACCATTTGGTCACCACTTGGTCCGGGAGACATCTCCCGTCACGCAGGGTGCAGTTGCGCTTCCACAGATCTCCAGTATCATCTTTTGATACTGGTAATGGCTCGAAAGGGCCACCACTTACGGGCTATTCATGCCCGTGCCACCTCTTGGGTGGCTTAATCTTCATCAATCAATCAATCAATATCGACCCACGGGAGGCATCTCCCGTCACGCAGGGTGCAGTCGCACCTCCACAGATCTCCAGTATCATCTATTGATACTGGTAATGGCTCATAAGGGCCACCACTTACGGGCTATTCATGCCCGTGCCACCTTTTGGGTGGCTTAATCTTTATCAATCAATCAATCAATATCGACCACACCATTTGGTCACCATTTGGTCCGGGAGACATCTCCCGTCACGCAGGGTGCAGTTGCGCTTCCACAGATCTCCAGTATCAGCTCCTCACGGGAGACATCTCCCGTCACGCAGGGTGCAGTCGCACCTCCACAGATCTCCAGTATCAGCTCCCCACGGGAGACATCTCCCGTCACGCAGGGTGCAGTCGCACCTCCACAGATCTCCAGTATCAGCTCCTCATGGGAGACATCTCCCGTCACGCAGGGTGCAGTTGTACCTCCACAGATCTCCAGTATCAGCTCCTCACGGGAGACATCTCCCGTCACGCAGGGTGCAGTTGTACCTCCACAGATCTCCAGTATCAGCTCCTCACGGGAGACATCTCCCGTCACGCAGGGTGCAGTTGCACCTCCACAGATCTCCAGTATCGGGTCCGGCTAATTACCACAAGCTACCACAAGCTTCAGAAAGCTTCCTGGCAATACGTTATTAATGAATAAATATATATTAGGTTAGGCTGACCTAACCTAACCTAACCTAAACTAACCTAACTTAACCAAACCAAACCTAACCTAACCGAAGCTTGGATCGTCGACTTGATTTGGCGTCACCAGCTTTTTATTTCTCGTCTAATTTCTTTATAAAAAGATACTTTTTCAGATTAAAATTATGTTTTTTCGTGTTGTACATTCATCACCAACATTATAATGAGTAAATATATCATATTTATTCATTACTAACGTACTGCCAGGAAGCTTTGTGAAGTTTGTGGTAGCTTGTGGTAATTAGACGGACCGGCTCCGGGTAGTGGAGCGACTTATCCCAGACACATTGTTTCCTAAAGAGTATTTGCTGCCATATGAGCCTCCTGTACCTACCTAACCTAACCATCCTAACAAAACCTAACCTAACAAACCCCCTAACCTAATCTATCCAAACCTAACCTAAATATAACCTGTAGCCAACAATATATCTTGGATAAGTCGCTCCACAACATTGTCGCTTAAATCGATGACTTCCTATGGCCTCTCATGCCACTTACTTTCGTCTATTTTCGTTATAAACGTATATTATTTCGGAGTAAAAATTTGTATTTTTTCGTGTTCTACTTTTAGCACCAACGTTATAGTGAGTAAATATATCATATTTATTCATTATTTACGTAATGCTATAAAGTGTTGGGTAGCTTTGAGTAGATTTGGGTAGCTTTAGGTAGCTTTGGGTAGATTTAGATAACTTTGGGTAAATTTAGGTAGATTTGGGTAATGAGACGGCCTGGGTGACTGGTATTGCCTTAATATCTCAGGTTATGTGAATTCGTAATTTACCTGAATTTACCTTAAGGCCGCTAACAATGCTAGTAGCCTCGACGGGGACAGGAAGCCAGCTGCTTGTCGAAGGTCTCCTCATTTGCCCTGTTGATTTTTTTTCCGGCAATGTTGTACAAGAGCAGCAACCAGGTTATATCTTGGGGTTATCTTGGGGTTATCTTGTGGTTATCTTGAAGGTTATCTTGAGGTTATCTCGAGGTTATCTCGAGATGATTTCGGGACTCAGCGTCCCCGCGGCCCGGTCCTCAACCAGGCCTCCACCTTTTTGTTACACATCCCAATGAAGCAGCAACTGTCTAACGCCCAGGTACCTATTGACTGCTTGTATATATATATATATATATATATATATATATATATATATATATATATATATATATATATATATATATATATATATATCTACCTGACTGGCGACGCTGGTATATCTGGTTTAATTATTTGTGAAGGGAAAGAAAGCAACATTAATTTTGTCGACTTTATTATAGAATATATGATGAACTACACGTGACGCCTCTGAACCTTCCTAGATCAGCTGACTAATGTTTACACCAGATCAGCTGATCATTGTTTACCAAATCAGCTGATCATTGTTTACACCAGATCAGCTGACTAGTGTTTACACCAGATCAGCTGACTAGTGTTTACACCAGATCAGCTGACTAGTGTTTACACCAGATCAGCTGACTAGTGTTTACACCAGATCAGCTGACTAGTGTTTACACCAGATCAGCTGACTAGTGTTTACACCAGATCAGCTGACTAGTGTTTACACCAGATCAGCTGACTAGTGTTTACACCAGATCAGCTGACTAGTGTTTACACCAGATCAGCTGACTAGTGTTTACACCAGATCAGCTGACTAGTGTTTACACCAGATCAGCTGACTTGTGTTTACACCAGATCAGCTGATCATTGTTTACATCAGCTGACTAGTGTTTACCAGAACAGGTGGTAACCATAACAGGTGTTCGGAGACACATATGCATGACACATGTGTGTGTTATATCCATCAAGGTTCCCCAAAAATGATCAGTTGAGAAATGTTATCCCTAACATTGGCTTGTAACTGTGGAGGTTATATGTGTTTGAACAACCTGGTTTGCTTGTTATCAAGCTTGTTCATCTATGTTCACTATAACATCAAGCTTTGTAAGTATATGTATATATATATATATATTTTTTTTTTTTTTTTTTTTTTTTTTTTTTTTGAGATATATACAAGAGTTGTTACATTCTTGTACAGCCACTAGTACGCGTAGCGTTTCGGGCAAGTCCTTAATCCTATGGTCCCTGGAATACGATCCCCTGCCGCGAAGAATCGTTTTTTCATCCAAGTACACATTTTACTGTTGCGTTAAACAGAGGCTACAGTTAAGGAATTGCGCCCAGTAAATCCTCCCCGGCCAGGATACGAACCCATGACATAGCGCTCGCGGAACGCCAGGCGAGTGTCTTACCACTACACCACGGAGACTGATATATATATATATATATATATATATATATATATATATATATATATATATATATATATATATATATATATATATATATATATATATATATATATATTGCGTTGGAACAAGCATGGCAAATAATTCAGGGTCACCCTAGAAGACTCCTGGGTCACCCTAGGAGACACAGGGTCACCCTAGGAGACCCTGGGTCACCCAAGGAGACTCCTGAGTCATCCTGGGAGACCCTGGGTCACCCAAGGTGACTCCTGGGTCACCCTAGGAGACCCTGGGTCACCCTAGGAGACCCTGGGTCACCCTAGGAGACTCCTGGGTCACCCTAGGAGTCCCTGGGTCACCCTAGGAGACTCCTGGGTCACCCTAGGAGACCCAGGGACACCCTAGGAGACCCCCTGGGTCACCATAGGAGACTCCTGGGTCACCCTAGATCACCCTGGGTCACCTTAGAAGACCCTGGGTCACCCTAGGAGACTCCTGGGTCACCCTAGGAGACTCCTGGGTCACCCTAGATCACCCTAAGTGACCCTGGGTCACCTTAAGTGACCCTGGGTCACCCTAAGTGACCCTGGGTCACCCTAAGTGACCCTGGGTCACCCTAGGTCATCCTAAGTGACCCTGGATCACCCTAGGTCACCCTAAGTGACCCTGGGTCACCCTACGTCACCCTAAGTGACCCTGGGTCACCCTAGGTCACCCTAAGTGACCCTGGGTCACCCTAGGTCACCCTAAGTGACCCTGGGGGGTCACCAAGGTCATGTGTTAAAAGGTCCAGTGACATTGATGGGATAAAATGTCAACATTAGCTTGTAGGGAGAACACCTTTTTAAATTCTGTTACGACACTCGTTTTAAACCTTCTGAAAATGGCGCGTTTTTGCACTTCACGACATTGTTTTCTAAGGTCCATCAACACGAGGTCAGCATGCAGCATATACTGCAACGGAGCATTATAAAACGGTTCATCATTGCATGCTGGTTTAAACAGACCACCTTGAATAGACCCCCAATATATTTACAGCATGATTCAAAGTCAAAGGTTAAACGCCTTTGAGGTCTCGAACTAATTCTTTCTTTCTCCGATGGAATCACTGCTCTCGTTCTGAACGAGACTTCGACTCCAGAAGCCGAAGACAGCATGCAAGGTTTCGAATACTTCGACTCAACTTCGACTCCAGATGCCGAAGGCAGCATGCAAGGTTTCCAAGACCTCGTCTCAACTTCGACTCCAGAAGCCGAAGACAGCGTGCAAGGTTTCCAAGACCATGTCGGAGCTTCCTTGAAGCCCCAGCACGGCTAGAGCCACGGCCCACGCCCACCAACATGCCCACACGCCCGCGGCCAGGGGCGAGGGCCTGCCTGATCCCGGCTGTTTTGGGTTCGGAACCGTGTCGACGACTTCGGCCAGGACGTAGAGTGAGAGTCGAACGTCGTGGTGGATCTTGGGGTCGCGTCTGTTGATCATCTGAGCCACTAGCTGGACCGGCTTCTCGCAGCGGGTCTGTGATGGGGGAGATTAATCGATTAGTCGCTAACTCACTCTAGATAGGACAAGGTTATCTTGAGGTTATCTTGAGATGATTTCGGGGCTTTAGTGTTCCCGCGGTCCGGTCCTCGACCAGGCCTCCACCCTCAGGAAGCAGCCCGTGACAGCTGACTAACACCCAGGTACCTATTTTACTGCTAGGTAACAGGGGCATAGGGTGAAAGAAACTCTGCCCATTGTTTCTCGCCGGCGCCTGGGATCGAACCCAGGACCACAGGATCACAAGTCCAGTGTGCTGTCCGCTCGGCCGACCGGCTCCCTAATCGATTTAAGGTTAATCGATCGTTTGATCGATTTTAAGGTTAATCGATTAGTCGCTCACTCACTCTAGATAGGACAAGGTTAATCGATTAGTCACTCACTCTAGATAGGACAAGGTTAATCGATTAGTTGCTCACTCTAGATAGGACAAGGTTAATCGATTAGTCGCTCGCTCACTCTAGATGGGACAAGGTTAATCGATTAGTCGCTCACTCTAGATGGGACAAGGTTAATCGATTAGTTGCTCACTCTAGATAGGACAAGGTTAATCGATTAGTCGCTCGCTCACTCTAGATGGGACAAAATTAATCGATTAGTCACTCACTGTAGATGGGACAAGATTAATCGATTAGTCGCTCACTCACTCTAGATGGGACAAGGTTAATCGATTAGTCGCTCACTCACTCTAGATGGGACAAGATTAATCGATTAGTCACTCACTGTAGATGGGACAAGGTTAATCAATTAGTCGCTCACTCACTCTAGATGGGACAAGGTTAATCGATTAGTCACTCACTCACTCTAGATAGGACAAGGTTAATCGATTAGTTGCTCACTCACGATAGGACAAAGTTAATCGATTAGTCGCTCACTCACTCTAGATAGGACAAGGTTAATCGATTAGTCGCTCACTCACGATAGGACAAGGTTAATTGATTAGTCGCTCACTCATTGTAGATAGGACAAGGGTAATCGAATTTTCGGCTCAATACGCCTTCATCAGAGCAAAATAGAATCAATCTATTTTGCTCTGAAGAAGGCGAATTCAGCCGAAAACGCGTCTAGCATTCTCTATTTTTCACATGTAGTTTTTCCGCATAACTGGATCAGTGTTTTTGTGATCATTATTGCATATATACATATATAATAACCGACAACTCCTCACCCCCTGAAGGATTCGAACCGAGACAACCAGGGACAAACAACTCACCCTCTCCTCCTGGAACATGTATAGGGTGTAGTTATGGTTCCCAACGCCCGAAGAAATTTGGTAATGGCGGACTTGGAGCACTAAATTATCCGTTGTGTGTTGGTAGAGCTCCAGACGGCACTCCTCCTATGGAGATAAGACTTCTGTGAGGACCCTGAGGTACAGGCAACTATCAGCACAAAACACTAAGCCATTAAGGCTCTATAGCGCTGGGAAATCGAGATAAGCATTTGGGGCGGGACGGCGGAAAGGAATGGTGCCCAACCAGTGCGGGATTAAGGGAGTGGAAGTTAGTGAACATATTAGCTAAGAATGAACAACTTCTTCGTTCTTTAAACATAGAGTTTCTGTCATAATGTGATAGATTAATATTTTTTTATGATTATATTTAAATAAATAAAAGTAATTCGTGTTTAAAACATGAATGGAACAGCAGAATTTAATGTTAATAAATATAATGAGAGAACCAGTGAATAACAACAGCTAAAAATTGTTAACTTGGTATATAATTTTGATATATTTTTTATATATTTAATTTTTTTTAATTTTTTTAATTTTTATATGGTATATAATCATCATTTGTATATAATTTTATTTCCAGGCACATGAAACTATCCATGATTTTTATAATTTGTTGATGAGTTTAATCCTACAATATTTATACTCCTGTGAGTACTTTTCTCCCACAGATGAGTAAGATAATTGACCAATTGTGAGTAATACAAGTCTGAGAGTACTCACCAACAAGCTCAATATACGCTTTATATATATGCTTTAGTTATTACGTTATTCGTAAGTTATTACGAAACGCGTTCGAGCGTCGCGTCAGACTACGAATAAAAATGAATTTTGGAGAATTGATTTTTCAATTACCATCAACAGTAAAAAGAAACATAAGAAATATTGAGAAAATTCGTGTTAGAATTATTAATCTTACTTTTTCGGTCATATTTAACAACATATGTTTACAAGAGAGACTGCTACCAAAATATGCTAATATATGCTTTAATATATATACTTTAACCCTTTGGGAAAAAATACTTTAACCCTTTGGAATGTCTTAAACAAAGTTAACAATATTTTTCCAATAATTAAGCCTTGAATAATGGATATAATTGGAATACCTCATCACAATATTCATCATAAAATAGCTGTTGAATTTGATGATTTACGTCATGTAACAATATATAAAAATCATGTTAATTGGCAGTTTCAGCAAGAATGATCTGACGTGATAATTAACAATTTATTTATTTTATAATTATTGTTTATATAATAAATATTTATTAAAAATATAGTCCAAGATAATTTAGATGTAATTATATATATAATTTAATGAACTTCAGTAGATTTCTAATTAATTATGTTTGGAGTTGAACTTCACTCTAAAATTACAGGGCATTCTAAAATACTTTAGAATGCCCTGTAATTATCCTCCAGATTTTAGAATGCACCACAAGAGGTGACAACAAAACACAAGAGGTGACAACACAACACAAGAGGTGACAGGACAAACACAAACAAGGACAAACACATAATGGTATGAGTGACAAAATAATAGAATGAGAGACCAAATATAAGAGAACTAGAGAGCAAAATAAGCAAAGGAGAGACCAAAAAATAAGTGAATCAGACCAAAAATAAGAAACAAAAGACTACACGCAGAGTGGTATGGACTCACGCCCATGTCGGAGGAGATCGTACTGACGATCCTCTGGAGTGGGATCAGGGCGTCGACAGCGCCGCCCCGGGTTACCGCCCGCAGAAGGTCTTCCTCCGTCCTACTGAACCCTACCAGCAGGAACAGTCCCGTCGGCAGCTGGTACTCTTCTGCCGGTAGAATGTGGGCTGGTATGTGGTTACTGGTGACGGTATGTGATGGTTACTGGGTACGGTATGTGGATACTTGGGGTGGTATGTGGTTGTGTTGGTGAGTAGGGATTAGGGCGTCGACAGCGCCGCCCTGAGTAACCGCTCGTAAAAGATCGTCCTCTGTCTTATAAAACTCTACTGGTGGTGGTATCTGGTTACTGGTGCTGGTATGTGGTTACTGGTGCTGGTATGTGGTTGTGTCGGTGAGTGAGATTAGGGGCGTTGCCGCCGCAGATGACCGCTCGTAAAAGATCGTCCTCCGTCTTACAAAACCCAACTTGTGTTGGTATGTGGTTACATACCATCATACATAATACACACAGTGTTTCACTAATAAACACATACGGTCTCAGGCACTCTAGGTACTCACGTGTCCGGAGTCTGGCACTCTAGATACTCACCTACTCGGGGTCTCATGCAGATAAAGTCTCCGGAGTAGCACATACACTCTCCGCGATAGGCCTGGTAGGCTGGGGCCTTGTGGTTGTAAACAGCGTAGTCCGTCTCACAGGGCAGGTTCTCAACACACTCCAACACCTGCAACACACATGTGTGGGCCGGTAAACACCTGTCATTTGCATATATGACTCGCTATTTACATGTATTTTCGTGTTTATTTTCCATTGTTTGGTGATTTATGTACTGGTGATGACTGCTGGGTTTCTGAATTTATGTAAGGCAGGTGTGTGTGGCATATGTGTGCTCCCTGTGCATGTGTGTACACATCTGTCTTTACCTCGAGTCTTGTATATTGAAAAAATCATTTGAATCGAGCAAATATTTACTATTAGTTCCTTTAACATGAGTTTTAGTATCGTGATTGCTCTTCACAATACTGTGAAAACATATAATACTGTATATATAAATCTTGCACTAAATGGTCAATATAGCCAGCACTGTTGTCACATTATATATATATATATATATGTCGTACCTAGTAGCCAGAACTCACTTCTCAGCCTACTATTCAAGGCCCAATTTGCCTAATAAGCCAAGTTTTCCTGAATTAATATATTTACTATAATTTTTTTCTTATGAAATGATAAAGCAACCCTTTTCTCTATGTATGAGGTCAATTTTTTTTATTGGAGTTAAAATTAACGTAGATATATGACCGAACCTAACCAACCCTACCTAACCTAACCTTACCTATATTTATAGGTAAGGTTAGGTTAGGTAGCCAAAAAAAGCTAGGTTAGGTTAGGTTAGGTAGGTTAGGTAGACGAAAAAACATTAATTCATGAAAACTTGGCTTATTAGGCAAATCGGGCCTTGAATAGTAGGCTGAGAAGTGCGTTCTGGCTATTAGGTACGACATATATATATATATATATATATATATATATATATATATATATATATATGTCGTACCTAGTAGCCAGAACGCACTTGTCAGCCTACTATGCAAGGCCCGATTTGCCTAATAAGAAAAGTTTTCATGAAATAATTGTTTTTCGACTACCTAACCTACCTAACCTAACCTAACCTAACTTTTTCGGCTACCTAACCTAACCTAACCTATAAAGATAGGTTAGGTTAGGTTAGGTAGGGTTGGTTAGGTTCGGTCATATATCTACGTTAATATTAACTCCAATAAAAAAAAATTGTCCTCATACTTAATGAAATGGGTAGCTTTATCATTTCATAAGAAAAAAATTAGAAAAAAAATATTAATTCAGGAAAACTTGGCTTATTAGGCAAATCGGGCCTTGCATAGTAGGCTGAGAAGTGCGTTCTGGCTACTAGGTACGACATATATATATATATATATATATATATATATATATTTTGCAAGCCATCCTCCTGTTTAGACAGTATCTATTGGGACTATGGTCAATAGTCAGAATTCGTATTTACTTAGCTTTTAGATAGTAGTATACTGACTATTAAGAAATTATTTGAAAATATATTTAGCTAAAACACAGTGTTAGATATTGCTAGGTCTAGTATAGCTCACATATGTACTATATTAGGCCTTATATATGATGTATAAGGCCTAGAGAGGTTAGGTTAGTTTGTGCATTGACCAGACCACACACTAGAAGGTGAAGGGACGACAACGTTTCAGTCCGTCCTGGACCATTCTCAAGTCGATAGGTTAGTTTGTCAAAGCAACACAAATAAAAATAAAATATAAAATGCTAAACGCGTTTTCGGCTCATTTTGCCATCATTGGAGCAGAATAGAATTTTGCTACGATGAAGGCGAATTAGCCGAAAACGCGTTTAGCATTCTATATTTTTTAACATGTGTTTTTTTCCGCATACTTGAAGGGGGGGAGGGTTGTAAACTCACCTCACACTTGGCCTCGAGATGCCGCTCACAGAAGCACAGCTCAGAGCAATCCTTCTCACCGTCTGTGTACAACTGTGGACAGACAGGCACACTATCAAACACCTTCATATATCACCACCAGTATTACGGTATGACAGCAACGGGTGATTTTAGCACGAATCTTCTCTATATTTGTGTCTATATATTTCAATCTTTGCTATATATTTCAAGGCCAACCACTTGGGGTGGAGGGTAGAGCGATGGTCTGGCGTCATGCAGGTCGGCGTTCAACCCCCGACCGTCCGCAAGTGGTTGGGCATGTTACGGCCCTCTCGGGACGCAACGGGGTTCTTACTCTGATGTTGTTAGAGGAAGATATATGTATCCGACCCCAAGCCAGTAGAGGCTTTCAAGGGATGCGATCCGTGACGCAAGTAACTTAAAGGGAGTATGGAAAGAAAGTTAAGAAACTTAATATTATAATTAACACCATCACCATAAATATATATAAAAGTAAAACGTACACAAGGGGGAGGGGTATTAACACTTTACAAAGGGGATCAACACTGTAGTCTTCTGCTGGAGACTATGGATCCTCGAAGCTAGGTGCTGAGTCCGCGGTGCTTTCTTCGTGGCCTCAAGACGTGTCCTCTGAGAACGCCGAGTCTACCTTGGCCACAGGTCAGCCACAACACAGGTCCACTGGGGGCACCGTCGTGGAGGCCGTCAACCACACGTCCAGCAGGTCTGCTGGCAGGTACTGAGCCACCAAGGCTGGTACGGCCACTCCACGAACGATAAAAGGGGTACGCCCTAGACAGGAGTCTCGTGTGATATCACCAATCACCCTCCTGTCCTCAATACCCCAGTGGATTATCGTCTCCAACCGTCGGTCCCGGGTAAATCCTTCCACTGCCACTCCACTGGCAGGCTTAACACACCACAGTGTTCTTCCGGGGGGACGACGTCACGACAGCTGCAGCAAACTTCACTGTATGGAGACTGGCTGCCTCGGGTAGACTGACTACACCTTCAACACAGTGGTCCCAGGTCGGCTCTGTAAGCAGACACGTCATTAATAACCGGGACACTAATACACCACACTCACAGGCTCAGATACAAACGCCCGACATATCCACTCCCTAGATGGCGCTGTCGTCGGAGCACCACCTCACCAGAGGTCAGGAGCGGCGGTGTTGAGCGCTGAACCAGACTGGAAACTGGTCCTCGAGGCCAGTACACGCTGTCCTCACTAGGTGTCGTCGTTCGTTTGGCGGGGGTTTCGGGAGCTGACCCACAGATGGCGTGTTTGTCACTGCTCCAGGCTCGGACGTTGGATCCGGGTTCGTAACACCTCCCCACCAAAAAGAATTTGGTTTGGGGTTCTATAAAAAGAAACACAAACCAAATTAGTACGGCGACACAACTCCAAATGGACTTACTTATACTATGAACTGGAGTGATGAGGTTGTCTTCTCCACAGAACTTTTCTACTAGCCATTTCCGGCACAGCGGGAGCTTGCAGATTGAAGGCAATGATCTGCCTGACGTAATCTTCCACGTCTTCCACGTCTCCACTGCGATGTCAAGCAGGGGCATCATCTCACCTCTCTCGAGTACGGATTGGTTTCGACACGATCTGGGGTGACTCGACACTTCTCTATGTCGTGGCACCGATGATGGCTGACCACAGACGGCATTTCTGGTGCCGGTCCGATGGTCCTTCAGGGAGACAGGAACCTGGAATACAGGGGTCTGATAATTCAGAGTGATAGCGACAGCGGGTAAAACAGTACTTACAGCATACTCTACTAGGTCCACACCTAGTCCCAACAGGGCTGCTTGTACGTCGCAGATAGCATTCGCTCTGCCACCGTCAGGTCGACCAACGTTCCGCATAACGCTGCATTGAGGCTCAGCTATCACGCGAGGGGTGTCAACCTGTCGGAAACAGTCACTCATATTATCACATCTAGTACCCCCTGTATCAACCATCACCTTCCAGGTCCCTCCTTCAACTGCAACACTTGCGGTACAAATCTCTAATCCCTGGGACCTTTTTACGATGTTCACGGGAGCCACCATCCTTCGGGTCGTCCACTGATCCTTACTGAGAACACATAGAATACATAGGAGAATAAAACGAAATATCGCTAAGAAACATGAGGCCAATTGAGGGATAAGCTTCCCGAGCCAGTCATGCCCATAGCCGGCAACATCCACACGCCTGGCTTGGACCGAAGAGGGCACTAGACCTTTTGAACACACCTCACCTACCTCTGACGTCTGGGGAGTCTCTGGCTGGTTCACTACACGCTGTAACTTGCCATACCGCAAGCACACATCCGCCTTCGCTCCAGACTCGTTGGTATCCGTGGGTGCCCGCACACAAGGCCTCTCTTCTTGCTCAGGTACCTCTGCCTTCTTAACTTCATGTTCCTCGTCGAGAGAATCAGGAGACACTGCTAGAATATCGTCGATCTCAATCTGTAGGCGAGAGGACAAATTAAACCTAGTTACATCCGGGTCTGTCTTTACTTGGACATTACCATTGCCTGTTACCTCAGACCGTGCTGTTCTGGTAGACTCGTCCGCGACCTTGGGATGATTGGTGCTCCAATCGGTCACCAAGTCGTTGGCTAGTACCACGTCAATCCCAGCCACAGGGAGGGTATCGACTACTGCCAACGCACATGTGCCGCTGAAATAAGGCGTGTCGAGATGTACTGGTACTAAGGGGGCGATGTACTGCGTCCTTGGAAACCCAACCAGGACAACCTCTTGTCTCCCATTCACACTTACTCCCTCGGGTACCGAGCTCTTCATGATCAGGGACTGGGCTGCTCCACTATCTCTGAGCACTACTACAGATCTACCAGTATGATCACCCGATACATACCCGCCTGAAGTGTGAGGGGCCAACAAACTTGGTCCTTCCTGCGTCGTCGTCGACTGGTTTCCTACTGGTGGTGTAACACAGCTCATCAACATCACCTCCCTTCGTGCGCTGCCACCTCTTCTGCCTCGGCACCTAGCAGCTATGTGCCCTTTCTGCCCACAAGTCCAGCACACCATATTCCTCCTAGGGCTCCGGTGTTTCGGACTGCTAGGACTTGTTCTTCGGGGACTACTTGGGGGCGTCTTCTTAGCACTTTGTGGGACGGGTCTTTCTTCTTCTTCATGAGGTCTGTCAAACCGGCGCTGGTAATTCCTCGGGACGTACTTAGCAGACGGCCTATGAGTCAGGATGTACTCTTCAGCCATGGTGGCTGCTGCACTCAAGGTCTCTACCTGCTGTTCCTCTAGGTACGTCTTCAGGTCTCCAGACAAACAATCCTTGAAGTCCTCGAGCAGAATCAGCTGCTCGAGGTCTTCCTTGGTCTCCACCTTCCGAGAGGCGCACCATTCTTGAAAAAGTCGCTCCTTGATGGTGGCGAATTCGGTGAAAGTGTGCTCTGAGGTCTTCTTCAGGTTTCGGAACTTTTGCCTATATGCCTCAGGTACCAATTGGTACGCCATGAGCACCACTTTCTTCACCATATCGTAATCGCCGGAGTCGTCAAGGGATAACGTAGAGTAGGCGATTTGGGCCTTCCCAGTCAAAACTGACTGTATCATGATGGCCCAATTCTCCCTTGGCCACTCCAAAGAGGCAGCGACTTTCTCGAAGGCTGCGAAGAACTTCGAAACCTCTCTCTCGTTGAATTTGGGGACCATTTTGATATTCCTTACCGGATCGAAACCGCTTACTCCAGTTTGTCTCTGTCCAGCGCCTAGTCGTAATACTTCTAGTTCATGTTGTCTCTGTCTTTCTTTTTCTTCTCTTTCTCGTTCTTCTCTCTCTCGTCTCTCTTCTCTTTCTCGTTCTCTTTCTCGTTCTTCTCGTTCTCTTTCTCGTTCTTCTCTTCTCTCTTCTCTTTCTAATTCTAAACGCCTCATCGCCAATTCCTTTTCTTTTAAGTCTCGTTCCATCTCTAATTTCTTCCATTCTATTTCACGATTTATTTCTAAGGCACGCATCTTGACAGTTAGGAAGCTGATATTAAGCTCACCTGCATCACTGTCAACGTCGCTGCCCTTATCTTCCTTTTCCGTGGAAGCTATCTCCTCACCTTCCCTTGTACTAGGAGTCTCGCCTTCCTGTTTCTCTTCTGCCTTCAGGTGCCGGTGAACCTTGGACAAAATCTCCACACGGGAATCACTGGCACGGATCTTGATCTCCAGGTAGGCGCTCACTAGTACAAGTTCCGGTTTGCTCAGATATTTTAATCTGGCAAGACAGTCCTCTCTGTTCAGGAAAGCCTGGACATCGTCCAGATCATCGATGGTAGCCTTGTCTGCCATTGTCACAGATGGAACACTTAACGAGCACTTAACACACCGCTTACACGTTAGCACTTAACGCACTGAGCACTGTTCTACGTCAATATGGCCCTTTATCGCACCAAACACTGCACTTGCCAATATTGCACGTAATTACTTCGGGCACCGCACTACCCAATATTGCACTGAGTCCAAGCGAACACTTCGCTCTACAATATTGCACTAACGCACTGAGCACCGCACTACTCAATATTGCACTTAATCGCTTAATCACAGCGAGCACCGCACTGCACAATATCGCACTTAGTCACTCTGAGCACCGCACAGGACGTATAACGTCACAATCGTCACACAGGGGGAATTATATACAGGGATTACGCCACTTCACCACCCCTGTCAAACATACTTAACAAGGGGACGGATCCCGCTGGGGATGCCAATTATGTTACGGCCCTCTCGGGACGCAACGGGGTTCTTACTCTGATGTTGTTAGAGGAAGATATATGTATCCGACCCCAAGCCAGTAGAGGCTTTCAAGGGATGCGATCCGTGACGCAAGTAACTTAAAGGGAGTATGGAAAGAAAGTTAAGAAACTTAATATTATAATTAACACCATCACCATAAATATATATAAAAGTAAAACGTACACAAGGGGGAGGGGTATTAACACTTTACAAAGGGGATCAACACTGTAGTCTTCTGCTGGAGACTATGGATCCTCGAAGCTAGGTGCTGAGTCCGCGGTGCTTTCTTCGTGGCCTCAAGACGTGTCCTCTGAGAACGCCGAGTCTACCTTGGCCACAGGTCAGCCACAACACAGGTCCACTGGGGGCACCGTCGTGGAGGCCGTCAACCACACGTCCAGCAGGTCTGCTGGCAGGTACTGAGCCACCAAGGCTGGTACGGCCACTCCACGAACGATAAAAGGGGTACGCCCTAGACAGGAGTCTCGTGTGATATCACCAATCACCCTCCTGTCCTCAATACCCCAGTGGATTATCGTCTCCAACCGTCGGTCCCGGGTAAATCCTTCCACTGCCACTCCACTGGCAGGCTTAACACACCACAGTGTTCTTCCGGGGGGACGACGTCACGACAGCTGCAGCAAACTTCACTGTATGGAGACTGGCTGCCTCGGGTAGACTGACTACACCTTCAACACAGTGGTCCCAGGTCGGCTCTGTAAGCAGACACGTCATTAATAACCGGGACACTAATACACCACACTCACAGGCTCAGATACAAACGCCCGACATATCCACTCCCTAGATGGCGCTGTCGTCGGAGCACCACCTCACCAGAGGTCAGGAGCGGCGGTGTTGAGCGCTGAACCAGACTGGAAACTGGTCCTCGAGGCCAGTACACGCTGTCCTCACTAGGTGTCGTCGTTCGTTTGGCGGGGGTTTCGGGAGCTGACCCACAGATGGCGTGTTTGTCACTGCTCCAGGCTCGGACGTTGGATCCGGGTTCGTAACAATTCCATTCCTTTCCGCCGTTCCATCCCAAATCCTTATCCTGACCAGTGGTTGGGCACCATTCCTTTCCACCATCCCATCCCAAATCCTTATCCTGACCCCTTCCCAGTGCTATTTAGTCGTAATGGCTTGGCCCTTTCTCGTAACTCCCTCCACGTATATTTCTTATTGTTTGCTTGAGAAAGTGGTTGAATAATTCACCTTCAAATGTCATTCTACAGTGACGTACAGCCTGACGCTAAGAAATGCGTTTCGTTGAGCCCGTCAACATTCTCAAAGGCAGAAGTGAAGTAGACCCCAAATTAGGTGTCGCCAAAATGGTAGAATGTACCCGAGTTTGATGGCTGTTGGAAATTGTTGAGATTATTTAATATGTAATGCTTCGTCGGTGTCTAATCTGTTGTCGTTGTATCTTGTCGATGATTTGGGTGTCGCTTGTCAGGATATCTCTGGTGTTGTGTGTAGACATTATATGTTCCTTCATTATGGTGTTGGCGCAGTCTCAGCCGCCATGAAAAGATGAGGATGTCTTGCCTATATATTGATACCGTTATGACTGACAATCCCCAAGTGGGCAGATGTCGGCACGGAATACAATCGTCTCTAGAGAGAGAGAGAGACAGAGACAGAGAGAGACAGAGAGACAGAGACAGAGAGAGACAGAGAGAGAGAGAGGTAGGTACGTACCCTAATACTCTCGTGCTCTTCAATAATACGAGGTCTGGCCTCCCACCGCCTCTTCAGCTCACAGTACCCTGCAAAACATCAGTTTAACGTCAACACTCCACCACATTAATAACCCGCACTAACTAACCACGAATCATTCCGATACATTGCAACAATGACGACTGCATAAGCTGGCAAAGGTCTGACGTGCGTGGCCTTGCAGAACTGCAGCTGAAGGGTGAATATTGATTAACATTGCATGAAGCTTTCTCTTGCAACATTAGTTTAAGGTGGCGTGGGTGGCAAGGGTCGTGAGCTATCAGGGGAAAGTGCCAAGCCATTATGACTATATAGCACTAGGAGAAGGAGAGATGCTGCTGTTACCCATGCTGCTGCATGGGTAACAGCTTCTCTATATTGACCTGCTGAATGGGTAACAGCTTCTCCTCCATATTGATATGCTGCATGGGTAACAGCTTCTCCTCCATATTGACATGCTGCATGGGTAACAGCTTCTCCATATAGACCTGCTGCATGGGTAACAGCTTCTCCCCCATATTGACCTGCTGCATGGGTAACAGCTTCTCCATATAGACCTGCTGCATAGGTAACAGCTTCTCCTCCATATTGACCTACTGCATAGGTAACAGCTTCTCCTCCATATTGACCTGCTGCATGGGTAACAGCTTCTCCACCATATTGACCTGCTGCATGGGTAACAGCTTCTCCCCCATATTGACCTGCTGCATGGGTAACAGCATCTCCCCCATATAGACCTGCTGCATGGGTAACAGCTTCTCCATATTGACCTCCTGCATGGGTAACAGCTTCTCCTTTGACCTGCTGCATGGGTAACAGCTTCTCCATATAGACCTGCTGCATGGGTAACAGCTTCTCCCCCATATTGACCTGCTGCATGGGTAACAGCTTCTCCATATAGACCTGCTGCATGGGTAACAGCTTCTCCTCCATATTGACCTGCTGCATGGGTAACAGCTTCTCCATATAGACCTGCTGCATGGGTAACAGCTTCTCCCCCATATTGACCTGCTGCATAGGTAACAGCTTCTCCTCCATATTGACCTGCTGCATGGGTAACAGCTTCTCCACCATATTGACCTGCTGCATGGGTAACAGCTTCTCCCCCATATTGACCTGCTGCATGGGTAACAGCTTCTCCACCATATTGACCTGCTGCATGGGTAACAGCTTCTCCCCCATATTGACCTGCTGCATGGGTAACAGCTTCTCCCCCATATAGACCTGCTGCATGGGTAACAGCTTCTCCTCCATATTGACCTCCTGCATGGGTAACAGCTTCTCCTCCATATTGACCTGCTGCATGGGTAACAACTTCTCCATATAGACCTGCTGCATGGGTAACAGCTTCTCCCCCATATTGACCTGCTGCATGGGTAACAGCTTCTCCATATAGACCTGCTGCATGGGTAACAGCTTCTCCTCCATATTGACCTGCTGCATGGGTAACAGCTTCTCCATATAGACCTGCTGCATGGGTAACAGCTTCTCCCCCATATTGACCTGCTGCATGGGTAACAGCTTCTCCATATTGACCTGCTGCATGGGTAACTGCTTCTCCATATTGACCTGCTGCATGGGTAACAGCTTCTCCATATAGACCTGCTGCATGGGTAACAGCTTCTCCCCCATATTGACCTGCTGCATGGGTAACAGCTTCTCCATATAGACCTGCTGCATGGGTAACAGCTTCTCCATATAGACCTGCTGCATGGGTTACAGCTTCTCCTCCATATTGACCTGCTGCATGGGTAACAGCTTCTCCTCCATATTGACCTGCTGCATGTGTAACAGCTTCTCCATATAGACCTGCTGCATGGGTAACAGCTTCTCCTCCATATTGACCTGCTGCATGGGTAACAGCTTCTCCATATAGACCTGCTGCATGGATAACAGCTTCTCCTCCATATTGACCTGCTGCATGGGTAACAGCATCTCCCCCATATAGACCTGCTGCATGGGTAACAGCTTCTCCTCCATATTGACCTGCTGCATGGGTAACAGCTTCTCCATATAGACCTGCTGCATGGGTAACAGCTTCTCCTCCATATTGACCTGCTGCATGGGTAACAGCTTCTCCATATAGACCTGCTGCATGGGTAACAGCTTCTCCTCCATATTGACCTGCTGCATGGGTAACAGCTTCTCCATATAGACCTGCTGCATGGGTAACAGCTTCTCCTCCATATTGACCTGCTGCATGGGTAACAGCTTCTCCATATAGACCTGCTGCATGGGTTACAGCTTCTCCTCCATATTGACCTGCTGCATGGGTAACAGCTTCTCCATATAGACCTGCTGCATGGGTAACAGCTTCTCCTCCATATTGACCTGCTGCATGGGTAACAGCTTCTCCACCATATAGATCTGCTGCATGGGTAACAGCTTCTCCCCCATATTGACCTGCTGCATGGGTAACAGCTTCTCCCCCATATTGACCTGCTGCATGGGTAACAGCTTCTCCTCCATATTGACCTGCTGCATGGGTAACAGCTTCTCCTCCATATAGACCTGCTGCATGGGTAACAGCTTCTCCTCCATATAGACCTGCTGCATGGGTAACAGCTTCTCCACCATATTGACCTGCTGCATGGGTAACAACTTCTCCATATAGACCTGCTGCATGGGTAACAGCTTCTCCCCCATATTGACCTGCTGCATGGGTAACAGCTTCTCCATATAGACCTGCTGCATGGGTAACAGCTTCTCCTCCATATTGACCTGCTGCATGGGTAACAGCTTCTCCATATAGACCTGCTGCATGGGTAACAGCTTCTCCTCCATATTGACCTGCTGCATGGGTAACAACTTCTCCATATAGACCTGCTGCATGGGTAACAGCTTCTCCCCCATATTGACCTGCTGCATGGGTAACAGCTTCTCCATATAGACCTGCTGCATGGGTAACAGCTTCTCCTCCATATTGACCTGCTGCATGGGTAACAGCTTCTCCACCATATAGATCTGCTGCATGGGTAACAGCTTCTCCTCCATATAGACACCATACCCATCCTGTGGGTGGTAGTGGGGCACCATACCCACCAATATCCGCTAGTTAACCATAGACTTAAGGCTCCAATTGGGCAGTTTGAGTGATCTTAGAGACATGATAAACCATCAAATTACTTACTCTCAGGGAGTCTTGTGGTTAGCGAGGTGGTTGTAGTGCTGGTTGTGGTGGTGGTTGTGGTTGTGGTGGTTGTGGTGGACTGGAGAGTGGAAGAGGGGGTCCTTGGGGTACTGGCTTCCTGCCGCGCTTGGACCAGCGTCCCGTCGAAGTCTATCAGTTCGACGGCTGATGTCGAATCGAAATCGTCCTCGGTGTCATATGCCCCCCGGTCAGGTAGGGGGGCCACCCGTTGCGTCACCCATTCATCTGCAAGCCCCAACCACCAACACATTAACCAAACCAGTTCTGTCAGCTAATAGGGCCACCAGGGCCTGACGGCTGAGTAGACAACATTCAGGATACATAATTCAAGACTCCGGGGATCCTCACCTGACTCATGCACTCCACTCTCCCTCCAGGCCTCATCTGGAGAGGTAGAAGGCTGAGCCTCCACCACCACGTCCTCCTCGACCTTCAAGTGGTAGCTCAGCTGCGCCTCCACTGTCAACAATGAGTTATTATGAGTACATCATTGTTCATCATGATGTACTGACTTAGCACACTGTATACATATGTATACTTATATGTATACTTATGTATACATATGTATACTTATGTATGCATATGTATACATATGTATACATATGTATAATTATGTATACATATGTATACTTATGTATACATATGTATACATATACACTCACATGTATGCGTATGTCTGTATGAATTAATGATAAGCCCGCCATACCCAGTGGGGGTTGTGTGAAGGGTTGTGTGAGGGTTGTGTAAGGGTTGTGTGAGGGTTGTGAGGGGTTGTGAAGGATTGTGGAGGGTTATGAAGGATTGTGAAGGGTTGTAGGGGGGGTTGTGAAGGGTTGTAGGGGTGTTGTAGGGGGGTTGTGAAGGGTTGTAGGGGGGTTGTAAGGACCATACCTACACAAGGGTTGCCCCACAACAGCCTCCTCCAGGCGAGACACTGGTTCATCTCCTGCACTCCGGCCTCACTCTTGCACTCGCAGTCCGTGTGTAGTCTGGTGCCCAAGAGCCCCATCGCACTCAGCGAACACGCATTTGCTGATCCCGCACACATCCCGGTCAGCAAGTCCGCGGCGCAGCCCACTTCGTACTGCTCCAGCTGGTACCTGGTGATGACAAGGTTTGATCATCAGGTTCGTCTCCTGCTTGTGGTCAATAGGCCCATCGCA